TTGGGATGTGAGAAGTGTGGTCAGACTCAGTAAATTTGCAGGGCTTGGAAGCTGTTCTCGTGGTTACGCCACAGACAGCAGTGCCTGTGAGACCCAAGTGCTGTAATTCCTTCTTTGGCACAAAGCACAGCGCATGTAAGAGTTCAGCAGCGGCTCCAGAACTGACTCTAATACATCCCCTTGTTTTTCAGCTGATGATGACAAGGTGCTTTTTTCAAAAAAAAAAAAGAAGCCAGAAGTTAAACAGGTGTCCTCAGAGAAGCTGAAGATGGAAATATGTCTCATGTGAGCGATTGTACACACATGGAATGGAGCACACTTTGTTGGGTTTCTCAAGAGGCTGGCAACCTTTCCTATAGGTCATAGGGAGCAGAGCTGCCTTCCTGTTTTTTGCCTTGAATTTCATGGATAAAACATGATATAGTTCTTGATGTTGAACTCCTAAGTACAGAGAGAATAAAGTCCTACAGGACTAGATTTCCCCAGGCTAAGAGGGGGCAATCATATTTGAAAAATCATGGCAGCCAGGTGAAGTTCCTGATGACTGGAAAAAGGGAAATACAACCCCCATTTTCAAGAAGGGGAAAATGGATGACCCGGGGAATTACAGAGCAGTCAGCCTAACCTCTGTGCCTGGCAAAATCTTGGAGCAGATTCTCCTGGAAGGCATGCTAAGGCACATGAAAAACAACAAGGTGCTTGGTGACAGCCAGCATGGCTTCACTAAGGGGAAATCCTGCCTGACCAATTTGGTGGCCTTCTATGATGGGGCTTCAGAACTGATGGACAGGGGTAGAGCAGTTGATGTCATCTACCTGGACTTGTGTAAAGCATTCGACACTGTCCCACATGACATCCTTGTCTCTAAATTGGAGCAACATCAATTTGATAGATGGACCACTTGGTGGATAAAGAACTGTCTGGATGGCCACACGCAAAGAGTTGTGGTCAATGGCTCAATGTCCAACTGGAGACTAGTAACGAGTGGTGTCCCTCAGGGATCGGTGTTGGGACCCGTTTTGTTTAACATCTTTGTTGCTGACATGGACAGTGCGCCCTCAGCAAGTTTGCCGATGACACCAAGCTGTGTGGGTCGGTTGATACACTGGAGGGAAGGAATGCCATCCAGAGGGACCTCGACACACTTGTGAGGTGGGCTGATGCCAACCTCATGAAGTTTAACCATGCCAAGTGCAAGGTCCTACACCTGGGTCGGAGCAATCCCAGGCACAGCTACAGTTTGGGCAGAGAAGAGATTCAGAGCAGCCCTGTGGAGAAGGACTTGGGGGTGTTGGTTGATGAGAAAATGAACATGAGCCTAAGTGTGCGCTTGCAGCCCAGAAAGCCAACCATATCCTGGGCTGCATCAAAAGGAGCGTGACCAGCAGGTCGAAGGAGGTGATCCTGCCCCTCTACTCTGCTCTTGTGAGACCTCACCTGGAGTATTGTGTGCAGTTCTGGTGTCCTCAACATAAAAAGGACAGGGAACTGTTGGAACAAGTCCTGAGAAGGGCCACGAGGATGATCAGGGGACTGGAGCACCTCCCATATGAAGACAGCCTGAGGAAGTTGGGGCTGTTCAGCTTGGAGAAGAGAAGGCTGAGTGGAGACCTCATAGCAGCCTTCCAGTATCTGAAGGGGGACTATAGGGATGTTGGAGAGGGACTCTTCATTAGAGACTGTAGTGACAGGACAAGGGGTAACGGGTTAAAACTTAAACAGGAGAAGTTTAGGTTGGATATAAGAAGGAAATTCTTTCCTGTTAGGGTGGTGAGGCACTGGAATAGGTTGCCCAGGGAGGTTGTGAATGCTCCATCCCTGGCCGTCTTCAAGACCAGCTTGGACGAGGCCTTGGGTGATATGATTTAGCGTAAGGTGTCCGTGCCCATGGCAGGGGGGTTGGAACTAGATGATCTTAAGGTCCTTTCCAACCCTAGCGATTCTATGATTCTATGATTCTAACTCCAAAAAGGCATTCGGGAGCCTATCTTTATTTTGTGATGCCCCAGCTCCAGCTCAATTCAGAGAGAAGTTAACTAACAGCATTTAATTATAGCTGTGCCAAAGGCTTGTGTCAAACAATGTAGGTAAGTCAAAACAGAATAAAAGTCAATTAATATGCTTTTGTGACAACAGTTCCAAATATATTAAACCTACGAATGTATCTATATGTATTACTAAGGTAGTATATGAATAGGGGATATACTTTTCTTGCAACAAATGACTTTCAAATAGAAAATAGTAACCTTGTAGAAGGGGAAAGCATTAACAAATGATTGCAATAAATAAAGCTCTTTAAAAAAATTTCCTGATTGTGCGGACCTTTTCTTTTTCTCATTTTGCTGATGGGTATTTTTATGAGTTACTATTTGAATTGAGTGTAAAATGAGAAATAATAAACCCCCAAGTCTTTCAGAATAACTTAAGTGAAGCCAGATGACAGCTGGGAGATAGCTATGCTGAAACAATAATATTCACTATTAAAGAAATTAATATATAGAAATAATAGTATATATATATAAAAATGTATCTAGAAATAATATACAGCAAGCTATATACAGCACTAGGGAAAACACTGGGGAGAGATAGTATATTTTTTCCAAGCTGTTACATTATCTTCCAAGAGAAGTCACACGCACACATTGTTTGTAATAAAATTGACACATGGAAATAAAAAAGTTCTGTAAAAATTTCAGCATTCAAGGAAAATTATTTCTTGTCCAGTGCATGCACGGACACACATATCACCAACAGGCAACTTTTATTGTTAATATCAGTTTTCCTTGCATTTTAAAAAAAATAAGTACAAATTATTTGAATCATGCCATATTGGTCAAGCTGTTACAGAAAGATAGGATTATTCTGTATAGTTGTATTTTATACACCTGAGCTGATACTGCAAGGAAAATAAGTAAATTTATGTGTTAGGTTAAAATAATAAACATGCAATGCCTTTATGCCCTTTTCTTACTCATTTAACTTCAGAACCAAATTCTATTCTTTCTCTGTAGTATCTGTGCCAGGTACTACAGGGCAAGATGCAAGAACCTACCTGTAGCTTCCTATACGCACTCTTGCCATAGTTTGCAAGTTATGTATTGGCCTAAATCACTGTTCATGGCATTTTGCATGATAAAACCTCAATAATCTTGATGTCTTTATAAATGTCTAGCCCTTCCTTGTGAGTTTTGCTAAGCTGTTGGATTTGGTGACTTCTGGTAGCATTGAGATCCACAGTTCAGTTACTATGGAGAGGTATTTTTGTGTCAGTCCTGGTTTTCACACCTTCAATTTAATTGAATATTATCGTGTTCCTGGGTTGTGAGGTGCAGAGGCAGAAGCTTCTGAGTCACCTTCTTTATTTGATTTACTTGAACATATCTCTTCAGAAAGCAGAACCTTGATCTTTTCTGTCCTTGGTCATACCAGAGGTTTTACAGACCCATAATCACTTTTGTTCTCTTAATCCTTCTGCTTCTGCAGCACACTGTGAGGTACTGATTGCTGTACAGAGCAGCTGCAGAGGGCTGTGTTGTTGCTTCAGACAAAGGAATCAGGACTTTGGTCTTTTTATTCACTTATTTCTCATGCATCCTACCATCTTGCCAATGCTTTATTCACAGCTGCACATTCTTTAGAGACTTCAGTGAAGTTTCTTGTGAAGTATGAATAAAGTATGTAAAATGGTTAACTGTTTAAAAAGAGATATAATTTATTAAAGATATTAATGATAAAGAGACCTATTCACCTTTTTTTGCACCCAGAGTGATTATAATATTGCAAAGAGTTGATGCACACTTTCATCTTTTGCTAAGGTTTAATTTTTTGTGTGTGTTTTTCCTTGTTTTCCTTGTGTTTAAAAGAAATCATCCGTGCAGACAATGAACAATAGTGGTGTAATTACTGAAAACCCAAACTAAACTACAGACAGTAGAAGGAGAGTACTGTCTGGAGGCAGAGGGTACCCTCTGGACTTATTATACACATCTGGGTTACTTACTTTTGTTTTAAGAAACTGCTTAAGTGCCATTTTTGGTCACTTTACAGTGATATTACTGGCATGCTTGATTTGCAGACATATTCTCATGTTAGTGGTTGTACAAAATTATAGAGAGGTGAAAAACATGCCTGACAGTTTCCTAACTATAGAAAAGGTTTTTTATATACCATTTATGTTGCTGTGACTTTGAAGCCAATAGCTAGCTGCACCTCCTGTGAATACTGTTGGTTGGTAACTGTGACTTCCCACTTCAGGTCTAAACCAAAGTCTTAGCAGAGTGGGTGGAAAGAGACAGGTACAAAGTGAAAGCAGCATCTTAATGCAGCAAAAGCTCCAGGCAGTGAGGCAGGATTTGGTATTATTAAATGTGATGGCCAAGGGAATGAGTTGTAACAGGCAAAAGTTAACAAGTATTTGCATCCACCATATACAGTAAACGTCGTATAACATTGTTTTCATATGCCACATCTAATCAGGTGTTTTTCCTGGGAATGTATAGGAGTTGTAAGTTGGGAGTGGTGATGGTTTTCAAAGGTCACTCATTGGTAAGAAAAGTGTTTGGAAAAAGTTGGTCTATTCAGTTGAAATGCGGAGAAATTTCTAGGCAGGTGAAGTGTAGAGGCACTCACAAGACTGTAAACTCAGATTCTGCATTAACAAATCTTACAAGACTTCTGTTTAATAGGTACATCATGGCCAAAAGGCAGTTTTACATCTTTGAAAGATGACATTCTGCTTTCCTGCAGCAATACCTTAGCACCACACATGATCAGGTTCTTCCTGCTGCCTACTGCAAACATGAAAACCCTCAAAACCAAACAGAGCTACAAATGAGTTCTGCAGATGTTGGATTAGGTACAAAATGATGTGACTTGACATGGTTACCCATATGCTTACACAAAAACTGCACAGACGTCTCTTCAAAAACTCTTCCCTGCAAAACCTTCCAAAATCTCCATTTTGCTCAGTCCATACTGATACTTTCTGTAGAAGGAGTGGATTTTTTTTCATAAATTGGCTGGAATCACCATAATGACTCTCAGCATGCAATAATATTTTCCCCTTGGAGTTTGGAGAGTAAGAGTTAGGAGAGCTCAAATCCTGTATTATTCTGGGCAGCTGTAAAAGAAAGTATTCTGGATTTGATCAAGAGAAATTACTTGAGTGTGTATTTTAGATTGAAAGTGTTCACAAAACCAAAGTGATCTAAATTGCAACTATCATAGTTGTTCACAAGATTTTATAGAAGGGGCAAACCTATTACTAAAAAGTATGAACACCCCCACCTTCCACCCCTTGTTTACTATCTTTGCACTTCTTATAGGAAACTGATTAGTATACCTTTTATTGCTAGGAAGTGAATCAAGCCCTTGTTTAATTCACGTAGGGATCGGAATACTGCCACTGCAGTGTTATCTATCAAATTTCAATGGAACAGCTATTGAGTATATATAAACTGTCCAGGTAACCCTTAGTTTAGGCATTCTGGTTTTTATAGTATTTTTCATTGGTAGCTGACTTGTTAAAGCCTAAAGGGAAGCTCTGCATGTTGCAATAGAGACAGCATTCAAAAATACTTCCAGTCAAGAATAATGTAAAAAGAGGGTAAGGGAAAGATAATATACATTATTGTTGTGGTTTAAACCCTAGCCAGACAGCTTGTTCACTCACTCCCAGTGAGTGGTGATGGGCTGAGAGCAATCGAGTCCACCCCTCCCCGCCCCGGGACTCTCCCCTTCCCTGCTCCCAGAGGAACAGGGAGGAGGATCGAAAGAGTGCAACTCCCACGGGTTGAGACAAGAACAGTCCAGCAACCAATGTACAACACAAATCACCACCGCTACCACCAACGACAACAATGATAAGAGAAAATAACAAGGGAAGAGAATACAATACCACCGGCCAAGAAACGAGTCCCACCCGCAAGCCAGTGTCCTTCCGAGTAACTCCCAGTTACCCCCCACCCCGGGCATGACGTGCTGTGGTATGGAATACCTCCCTGGCTAGCCTGGGTCAGGTGCCCCGTCTCTGCTTCCTCACAGCTTCCCCTCCTCCCTGTCAGAGCATGAGCCTCAAAAAGTCCTTGGTCAGGGTAAACATCACTTAGCAACAACCGAAAACATCGGTATCACCAGCACTGTTCCCAGGCTGGAAGTCAAAACACAACACTGCACCAGCTACCATGAAGGGGAAACATGACTGCTACTGCTGAACCCAGGACAACTATCAAGAATGTAAAAAACTTACTGTCTTTAGAGAAAGGAAGACATAATGTATATACAAGTTGTGGCTTAAACTCTCATTTATTGCTTTGATTTCTACATTAAAATCAAGGACATATCTAAGTACTGCTTTTACTGAAACTTAGGGGTATCATGTTAGAGGCTGAGAATATTGTCTAGAGCTGCAGTATAAATGTGCTGCATTCACAGCAATTACAAAACTGTAATGCTTTTCCTTCTAGCATGGAGTGATCCTGGAGATGCACTTTCTCCATTTTTAACACAGCTTATATTTTCTTTTGATTCCTGTAATAGGAAACACAGCAATGATGTTTATCTCCTGAACATGACATAGCAAATGGTAAAAGCAAACATCCATGGCTATGGAAATACTATCCTACCTGAAACACCAGTTATTCATGTTCTGTGACTCAGTGTTAAATTTATCCTTATCCTTGGCAGGCAATTGCATTCTTTCCACTAGAGACTGACAAGGTGGTTTGCATTTCTGGTGCTTTTACTTCATCTCCTCTCCAAACAAGCAGCAAATTTCAGCACCTGTTATCGCTGTTAGGGGCTTTCCATTACTTACATGAAAATGAAAGGAGAGAAGGAAGAGGAAGGTATTTGGAAAAGGGGGGGGGAGAAAAAAAATAAAATTGAAGCTGTAGGGCAAGTAATTGCACTTTTCTGAGTAGAGCACTTCAGATGTGTCATAAATGGGGTTAAATAAAACTAAATGTTAAGAACCATACTAAATACGATGTGTTCTGTAATTTTATGGTTTAATCTCTTTGGTTCTTTCTGGGAAGTACACCATATTTCATGATTATTACTATTGATTATACCATGACTGTTACCATTGATACCATAATTATTACCGGTGACAGCTGTCATTTGTTGGTAGCTCCTCCCAAAGTGCTGAAGGTGATCAGATAAACAAGCCTACTCCCCTGCTATTACCACTTCTCACTTGCTCTGTTGCATGGTTCCCTTTCTGCCAGAATGCTCTTCTCTGACCACCATACGCCAGTATTAAATTAGGAAATTGATTAAATAAGGAAATGCCACTTCTATGCATGAAATCTTTATAGACAATGAAGTATTGACTCACTGATATGTTTCTACTTTAAAATACATACATTGAAGAATTGTAAACATCTGCTCTCTTAAATATCATAAGTATTTTCCTCCAGAAGCCTTTGTAACTTTTCTGTAGAAAGATCCTTGTGTCAGATGGGGAATGGCTATAGACCAGTTATTTTTGAGATAAAATAATAATGCTTAATATTTTTTTCAGAATCCATCATCAATCTGTCACTTTGAAAAATAAGAAATTAAATTAATTATTCTCTTATTGATTCCCCTTTGCCAGATTCATTAGATTATCCCTGCATAACCCCCCAAACACCCGCCTGGGTAAAACTTGCAGGAAAATGCACTGCCTCCACCAAATGACTCATTTATATTTCATTGTTTTAAGAGGTATTCTCTGTAAATGTTTAATAGATGATGTATATATCTAGATGAATATGGAAACAGAAAACTTACAAGAACCTCGATTGCAAACTTCCATGGTTCCTGAGAAGATGAACATTTTTAATCAGAAGGGAATTAGCAGATCACTCCTAGCAGCAGGTGATCAGATTTTTACAAATTGTGAGTAACTCTAAAAGTACTAACAGCTGTCCAAATACCTATCATTAACAAAAAGCATGAATTAGTAAATACTTGCAAACAAGACTGCAGCAGCGGTTCACCTGTATTCTTGCAAATTAGTCTTATTAGTCACATCCAACAGCATTAGGCACAAGTTCTATTATGTGAATTAAAATTGTATTTTTATCTTATGATGTGGAACAGAGGAGGGGGTCATGTATTTCTTCCATGCTTCTAGTATTTGACAGCAAAATCTTTGACTATTTGTTGGCTGTTTCTTTACATTTCAGTTGCTTTGGAGAGATCGGTTTCTTATTTACATCAAGGATGAAGACAGCTACAAAGTACAGCCATAGTAACTCACAGTGTAGAGACCCAGGAAGAATTTCATGCGCTAACTGATATGAAATCTAAATATTAAACTTTTAAGCATACAGGGGCCATCAAAATTATTTTAACTGGAGTGTAAACTGTTGAAAAGCTAAATCTCTTCAGGGAACCATGTAAATTTGCATTGCAATAGCCTGTTTCCTGAGGTCTCCTTGGGGAGCATAGAGGATTTATAAGAAGGCTGTATTTTTTGTAGTTACACCACCTTTACTAGCTGCACAAAATCCCTTCCTGAATAGCTATGTTCCATAAAAGCAATTACAAAAAATTCTGAGATTCTTATTTTCATTTCCTTTAACAGTTCTGTAGACACAACTTCTCTTTAGCAAGTAACCAGAGCATTCAGTGCTAGAGAACACTATGAATGAGCCTGCATGTTTATTTATACTGAGGATATATGGAAAATGCTGTTATGTTTTCATGCATGCTGTATGCTACTCAATTGCAAAAATCTGTGTAATTTTATAAGAATTACTAAAAAGTGCATAAGAATATTTATTTGTCTGCATGTGTTGGGTGGAACACACAAAGGGAAATACTGGAAGTCTTCAGGGGAAACACTTTTTGAGAAGGGACTGGCTACATAAGACCACGCAGACCAGAGATTTGATTTCTACTCTTTCCTAGTGCTGCCGTTTAGTAACGTGGTACTCTTATCAGTACAGGAAACAAGGTGTTTTCTTTCAAAGCAACTACACAATAAGAGAGAGCAAAACCTGACCTCACTTCTCGGCCACAGCGTTGAGATGAACTGCAGTTCTGACCTATTACTCCGCAGTTACAATTGTCTGCTGTAATGGTACCACTTTGAGGTTTAGAGAAGTTAATTTCTTTCTGGTTATAGACCTTGTTACTTCAGGGGTAAGCCAGCATGAAGATTGAATGAATGCATGTGAATGAGCAAAGACAAGGTATGTGATCAAGTCATCATTGTAGGTAGTTAGGGCCTGGAGGCCGGAAGATATCGCGTTGTATGGAAAGATAGAGCCCCCCCTGTTTAATAGCCAATAGTATGTAGCTTGTGATGTAAGCAGACGGAAGTGACGCTGTAAACCCAGAGTATATAACGCTGTGTTGCGAAGTAATAAACGCCATTTGCCGTCCACCACACTGGTGTCTGTGAGCTGATGGCCCGAGCGGCCTGGGGTTGGTCGCCGTGCCGTTCCTGAACCAGGTCGCCACGCCTTGAGAAGGCAACAAGTGGTGCCGAAACCCGGGAAACTCACCTGGACGGGTGAACAGCGGCCGGAGCGGCAGGACCAGCCCGGCGGGGAGGATGCTCCCGGAGCAACAAGGAGGATGGAAGCCCTTGTGAAGGTCGTATCACAATTACATAAACAGTGGGGTATTGATTGCAAGTCTAAAGATTTTTCTCTCGCTGTTGCGAGACTCTTGCAAATCGGGGTCATTGACCAGCCGGTGGATATACTCCACCCTGAAGTGTGGGATAAATGTACTAAAGCGCTAGCTGAGGAGACAAAGTCCTCGGGTTGTGGGAAAAACCTTAAGTCATGGGGAAAAGTCGAACAGGCCCTGCAGAAAGCAATACAAGCGCAGGAGACCTGGAAGGCAGCAGAGAGCTGTCTATTGGCCACCCCCAAATTGGGAGTCGGGGTGGCCACACAAACTTTGCACTTCCCAGACCTCGGCGATTCTGCTGAGCCTAAAGATCTGCAAGAGGGCGGCATGCCTCCCCAGTCCCCGAACTCCAACTCGCTTGTGGAGGCACAAGAACGAGCTAAATCTTTCTGGGGAGGGTTAGTCGAGGAGGCCAGAGGCGTTGAAGAAAAGGTAGAGTCTAGAGAACCTTGCGTTAGACCACCGCCCTATGCGCTCAAGATGGCGCCAAGCGGAAACGGGGAAGGGCGGGCCGAAGGTGTCTATGGCGGGAATAGTGAGGAGGTGCTGGCAGTGTGCAAGGGGGAGGGGAACGAGAAGAAGGACAAAGGAGGGGACGGCCAAAAAGAGAAGGAAAAAGTGAGTGGAACGTGGAGGGCCAATCAAAGCGGCCGTCCGGGAAAATGCCCTTGCTGGGCACACACCCCGCCGAGTAGTGGGCGGGGTGGGCGGGGCGAACAAGATGGGAGGAACAAACGCAGAGGGCGGAACAAACCCGCCCACAGGAGAAGCGGGCGGGGCCGAAGCCCGACAAAAAGACACCACAAACCGGAAGTAACTAGCCAGTCGAGCTCTGACTCTGGGTCCGATACCAGCTGGGATGAGTGGTCCGCAACTGATTCAAGCTCGGAGGAGGAGGCAAGGAGAGTCGATACAATAAAAAGCCAAAACACTTCTACCCAAAATGAACCGAAAACACAAGAAGTAAACACCCCATTCAGCAACTGGGAAGAAATAAAAGCTGAGTGTGCTGGTTGTGTTTCCTCAACCACGCTAGCATACCCAGTCCAAGTAACGAATGGGGGGCAGAGAATTTATTCGCCAGTAAACCCTAAAGATATACATGCGATTGTTAAGGCGATCGCGGATAAAGGACTTAACTCTACCATGGTATCCACCCTCTTAGATAGTGTCTTTGGGGGAGGTGATATGCTCCCATTTGATATAAAGTAAACTTGTAGAATGATCTTTGATGGGGCAGGGATGATTGTTTTTAAGGAAGAATGGGAAAATAACTGTGTGAAACAATTAGCTAAAGTGACCGGGCCAGATCACCCACTGCATGGCTCCAACATCCAGCGATTGATGGGCTCAGATCCAACAATGATCACCCCCCAAGCACAGGCCCAAGGCCTGCGGCCCCATGAAGTTATGATAACCACTCATGCGGCCAGAGAAGCTATTCACGCTGCCTCTAGAGTCATTGCCGCGCCAACACCTTGGTCTACGATTAAACAAAATGAAGGCGAGAGTTTTACTCAATTTGTAGATCGCCTTCAGGCAGCGGTTGATTCTTCAATCCTGCCTGCGGTAGCAAAAGGCCTGGTCATTGCATTTTGTTTACGACAGCAATGTAATTCTACAACCAAAGAGATTTTACGGTCCCTGCCAGCGGGAGCAAGTCTAGCAGACATGATCAAACATGTTACAAGGGAAGAGCATTTAGCCCCGATTCAAGTTGCTGTCCACACTGCGGTGGCTGAGGTCATGACATGTTTTAAATGCGGCCAGGCGGGCCACGTGGGAGCGAATTGTCCCCGATTTGGGGACTCATCCGCGGTACCCCCCTCACGCCAAAGTCCACCAAGAGGACTTTGTTAGGCCTGTGGAAAGAAAGGACATTTTGCTAGAGACTGTAGATCAAAAAGTCAGGGAAATGGGAAGGGGAGAGGGCAATTGGGCCGCGCACAGTCCTCTCCCAGCTGGGACATACGGCGGCCCAATTATGCCAACCCCGGATGGGGTGAAGCACTCCCGAACCCGTTGCCCCCACGAGAAACGACCAATTTTGTGGCCCAGCCGATGATCCATTCAAATCAATCCACACCCCAAGAACAACAACAACCATTTCTTGGGAACAAGACCCGAGGGTGGCCCTGGCAGTAAAATGCAACAGCCCACCAGTAGTGTGGGGAATTTGTTCCCTTTATAATACCACAGATGACACTACCATTACTGTCCCTTTTCTGATTGACACCGGAGCAGATGTAACAGTCATTCCAGAAACAAGTTGGCCCCAAAATTGGAAATTGGAAGGCGCCCCCATGGTGGGTGGAGTCGGGGGATTAATCCAAGCTCAAAAAAGTGTTCAATTAGTGGCAATCATACTTCATACTGAACAAGGGCCGGAGAAAACCATCACTCTCTTCCCATATGTTATGTCAGGGGTCCCACCCCTGCTAGGAAGGGATGCTTTGGCCCTTCTGAAAGCCCGGGTGACAAATTTATTGTAAGGGCCACTGCCGCATACCCACTTCCACCTATCAAATTGGCATGGAAATCGTCCGACCCGGTGTGGGTCGAGCAGTGGCCCCTGTCAAAGCCTCGAATGAATGCTCTACTCGAGCTGGTTGACCGTGAATTGCAGAGAGGTCATATAGAGCCGTCCACTAGTCCTTGGAATGCTCCTGTTTTTGTAATACCCAAACGAACTAGTGAAGGCTTTCGCCTCCTCCATGACCTGCGTGAAGTAAATAAGAAGATTCAACCAATGGGCCCCATCCAAACATTACTGCCCATGAATTCTATGATACCAGAGGGCCAACCGTGTGCTGTCCTCGACATTAAAGACTGTTTCTTTTCGATACCATTGCATGAGGAAGACAGAGAGCGATTTGCCTTTTCGGTAGTTTTTCCGAATAGTTCACATCCCAACCTACGCTTCCAGTGGAAAGTACTGCCTCAAGGAATGATTAATTCCCCTACTATCTGCCAAATCGTAGTGGATTGGGCACTGGCACCGGTTCGGCGTGATAATTTGACTGCAACTATCATTCAGTACATGGATGACATCTTAATCGCCGCGCCGTCAGAAGACCAGGTGGACAACCTAGTGACAGCAGTCTCGACAACTTTAAAAACGAATGGATTTGAAATTGCAGATGCAAAAGTCAAAAGAGGACCGTGTGTGACCTTTTTGGGGATGGGGATCACAGGCTCTTATGTAACCCCCCCCAAAATAAAGATCCGTCGGAACATTGAAACACTCCACGACATGCAGCAATTAGTGGGATCCCTGCAATGGCTCCGTAATGTTGTCCTGATCCCTCCCGAAATTATGACCCCCCTCTACAATCTTCTCAAAGGGAAAAACCCCTGGGAACAAAAAACATTGACGCCAGAGGCGATGAACTCTCTTGATTTCATTGAACAACAAGCCTCATCGAGCACGCTTGCCAGATGGAACCCAGGTGTCCCGCTTGACCTATATGTGCATTTTACAAAAGGAGGGGGAGTAGGGGCACTTGCCCAGGGAACCCCTGAAAAAGCCCAGCCAATACAATGGATAGTCCTAGGAAAACCATCATGCGCGTTCTCTCCAGGACTCAAGTGCCTTGGCGATCTCATCATGAGAGGCAGAAAGCTCGCCCTAAGACACCTAGGCATTGAGCCCGCCAGAATATACCTGCCTTTCCGCAAGCAATTCCCAAATCAATCAGTGGCGACTTTGGAGTATCTAGCCATAGGTCTCGTTGGATTTGGCGGAGAAGTCCAGTATGCTGCAAAACCCCCCTGGACTCAAATGCTGGCCGTTGTCGACATCGACCTCCCTCAAAAAATCATAGACCGCCCTCGACAAGGACCAACAGTATTTACAGACGCATCCTCCATAACTTCTACCACAGTAGCAGTATGGCAACCCGGGAAAAAGTAGCATCGCATCAGGATGACCGACCTCACGCTTTCGGTACAGCAGCTAAAAGCGCAAGCCATAGTCCTGGCGTGTGGACTGTTTCCAGAAGAACATCTCAACATAGTGACTGACTCAATGTTCGTAGCCAAGCTTCGCTTGGCCATGTCAGGACCAGGTGTATCAACGTCCACAATAGCTTTAATGCTGGAAGAAGCACTTCTGTCTCACAAAGGTACCATATCCGTCATCCATGTCAACAGCCACGACCCAATCAAAGGGTTTTTTCAGACTGGCAATGACAAAGCCGATGCTGCAGCAAAAGGACTGTGGACGCTAAAAGATGCTCGTCAACTGCACGAGTCTCTCCACATCGGAGCTAAAGCGCTGGCGAAGAAATGTGAAATCTCTATCACTGATGCAAAACACATAGTGGCCACATGTCCCCACTGTCAGAAACTACCGCTATGGTCCAGCGGAATCAATCCCAGAGGTCTAAAAGCCTCCGAACTGTGGCAGACAGATTTTACCCTTTGTCCATTATTAAAACCCCGAGCATGGTTAGCAGTAACAGTAGACACATACAGCGGAGTGATTATAGCCTCACAGCATCTCAAAACCAAATCTAAAGCAACAATCCAACATTGGTTAACAGCTATGGCATGGCTTGGTATTCCCAAGCAAATCAAAATGGACAACGGTCCAAACTTTGTCTCCGCGTCAGCCCGGGCATTCGCACAAAAATGGGGTATTACCCTAATACAAGGCATCCCATATAATAGCACAGGACAAGCCATAGTTGAACGAGCAAATCAGACTTTGAAATCTAAAATAGAAGTGCTGGCAAAAACAGAAGGCTTCTCTAGCGCCGTTCCCCCGGGAGATCAAGCATGCTTGCTAGCCACTGCCCTATTAGCGCTAAACCAATTTCCCAGGGGGGAAGAGGCGAATAGCCCCACTCAAAAACACTGGGCCACTCGAGCAATGGACGAAGGTCCGTTAATCATAGTCAGGAATGAACTAGGAGAGTGGGAACAAGGGTGGAGACTAGTTCTTACTGGGAGAGGGTATGCCGCGGTCAAAAAGGACGGAATCGTTAAGTGGTGCCCACTTAAGTCCATTAAACCAGACCTTCAGAAACAAAACTAACAAAACTTTGAGTCTTTCTCTCCACAGGATCACATCATCGGACGTCCTCGCAACTCATACGCTCCAATACCGAGAGAAGATGACAAGTCCGCAGATATCCCTTCCATACCCGAAAATCCTGAGCAGATGAAATCCGGGCAACGGCAACATGATCCCCGCAGACAAGGATGGCGACATCTTTGTGTGCTCTTCGCCTTACAGCTCGTCGCTACCACACAAGCGGTACCAGAACCCCACCCCCATCAGCCTTTCAAGTGGACCTTACTCCGATTTGAGGGCCAACAGGTTATCGCAACCCAAATAACACCGGGAGCACCAAGCTTTAATGCTACCTTATGTCAGCTTGTCCCAAGACCCCGATGCTGGGAATACCTGGGATTCTATATGTGCCCTAGTTCAAATCCTGGAAAGGGATATTGTAACCACCCTAATCAATATTACTGCAGCTATTGGGGTTGTGAAACTATAGCCCCTGGTTGGATACCGGGTAGTGGTATAGACAGGTACCTAAAGGTGCAATGGGGTCCATATGGGTGCAAACCATCACAAGGGTGGGGAGGACGTGGAAAATGCAAATACCTCTTCTTAAATGTCACCAGCCCTGAAGACGTAGGATGGATAATTGGAAGAGTGTGGGGAGTGAGGTATACGGACAGATAAGGGTGGTTTAATTCTCATAAAAAAGGAAGTGGTCCCAAATGATCCGCTGCCAGTAGGCCCTAACCAGATACTAGCTGATGATTTGGCTAAAGGAACAATGGATAGTACAACAAGAATTACTAAAATAGACAATATAGCGATAACTCCTGAAATGAAGACTACTCGAGTCACCCAAACTCCTGATGAAACCCTTCGGAATAACCCAACCCCTAATGAAACCCCTGAAATTAATCCCCTTTTGAAAATGATGCAAGCTAGCTACCAACTGCTGAACAAGACTAACCCAAACCTTACGGAGCACTGTTGGCTATGCTACAGCATAACACCACCCTACTATGAGGCTATAGGAATAGACGACGCACCCTTACGAGTAAATGGTACGAATCCGGCCCAGTGCGCTTGGGACACAGAAAAACAAGGGATTACATTAGCACATGTGATGGGAAGTGGTACATGTATAGGTACAGTCCCTAAACACAAAAAACAACTATGTGCTAACGTGACACAGTCCAAAACCCCTGCACAGTGGCTAGTACCGGCCAATAATGCCAGATGGGTTTGCTCCATTATGGGAGTTACACCTGTCTGTCGTTAGACAAATTTGATGAATCCTCAGAATATTGTGTCCAAGTAACTATAGTTCCTAAGATCTTCTACCATTCCGAACAATGTTTCTATGAGTCACAAACCACTCCAGAACACCACCGGTCAAAACGGGAACCCTTTACAGCATTGACAATAGCCGCTCTCCTGATCATGGGGGGTGCGGGAGTAGGCACAGGGGTGGCATCCTTAGTGCGCCAACACAAAGAATTTACCGCCCTAAGCATGGCAGTGGATGAAGACCTAGCTAGACTAGAACAATCTATCAGTGCATTAGAGAGTTCGCTTAGATCGTTATCTGAGGTCGTGCTACAGAATAGAAGAGGGTTAGACCTAGTGTTCCTGCGACAAGGGGGAGTATGTGCAGCTCTGAAGGAAGAATGTTGTCTGTACGCCGATCACACTGGCATAGTGAGAGATACTATGGCCAAACTATGGGAGAGACTAGAAAAACGAAAAAGGGAACGGGAGGCGGAACAGAATTGGTTCACATCCTGGTTCACCAATTCACCGTGGCTTACCCCTGTGATATCTACCCTGCTAGGGCCGGTTACAACAATCCTGATAGCATTGATTTTTGGACCCTGTGTATTGAATAAGCTGATGTCATTCATCAAAAGTTGTTTGGGAAAGGTTAACATCATGCTCATAGAACACCAACAGTTGCTTTAGGAATGTTCTTGTTCAGAATTTTTGGTCTATCCCCAGTTATACCTTGTCATTCTCTGCTATCACCTGTTTCACGTGCCTTGCCCAATGGGCTCTGCATCCCTATTTCAAGCATATATTCCGTTTGCAGAAACTGTTCTCAATGCTGTGTGAAAGCATCAACCATATACTGTTGTTACACCCAGTTAGTTTTATTAAGCATAGGGAGGGGGGAAATGTAGGTATTTAGGGCCTGGCGGCCGGAAGATATCACATTGTACGGAAAGATAGAGCCCCCCCTGTTTAATAGCCAATAGTATGTAGCTTGTGATGTAAGCAGACGGAAGTGATGCTGTAAACCCAGAGTATATAACGCTGTGTTGCGAAGTAATAAACGCCATTTGCTGTCCACCACACTGGTGTCTGTGAGTTGATGGCCCGAGCGGCCTGGTGTTGGTCGCCGTGCCGTTCCTGAACCAGGTCGCCACGCCTTGAGAAGGCAACACATCATAATGAATTCATAATTTTTATTTGAATGGGTTTATATATATATAATTTTATATTTTGTTTATATAATTTTATGTACTCATGTATATATGTAGTTAAAATTAATTCTGTATCCATACGTGTCCACACACACAAAGAATGATCTAAACTGAGGCCATATGGGGGGGACTTAGGGTTTTTTCATTTCTTTGGCAGACTGCACTTTGGTAAGATATGATCAGCCTTTCTATCCACAATGGGAACGATAAATCTAAAAGACTTTAAGAAATTAAGTTCTTACATGATCACAACCAAACCTCTTGGGTATAGAAGTTAACATGGCTGCCTGTAAGTCAATTTAATACTTGCTTAAATCAATGGTGGGAAAGTGAATTACATTACATGAGGGTCTGGTAATTATAATTTGTTTTCCTTTTATTAACAATTATCTGACAATACAAACGAAACTTTTTTCCCCATAGTTTCATATTTGCCTATGTCATCAAAATGAGTAGAAAAATATATTCTTATGCTTTCCTGAATTAAATTTATGTTTTCCTCAGTAAATTTTCAGTCTTCAGAATGTACCATCTTCGTTTTACCACTCAGGATACTGTTAGCAGTATTCCCAGCAACACTGCACTTGTAACAAACATTGAGTCCTGACAAACCAAGTCACATATAAATCACGAATTAGGTTCCCACAAAGCACAGGATTAGCTCTAAAACCGAGATTTCAAGAAAACCAAAACAAACAAAACAAACAAAACAAAACAAAAAAAAAACCAGAAAACCAACTCATAAACCTTTCATTTACCCTCTGCTTTCTAGCACATTTTAAGCTATTCCCCCATTTGTAAATGCAAAGATGTAAAAACACTTCACAAAGATGTGAAACACTTCATGAGTCTTATGCAATCATATGCTAACTGCTATAAATGTCACTCTCCAATTTAAAGAACAGTACATAGACCATCCAGGCCATTCATTTCACATAGGTTGGACTTACTCTGTTCAATCTTTCTATTTTTGTCTGCCTTTGGTTTAATGGAAAATCATTCCCTTTTTGATCACAGATCTATCTATACAAGGTGATTAAAAAAAGAAAAAAAGTGTTTTGGAGCTTGGTTTTACCCTGTTGCCTTTCATCCCTGTCAGTAAGATGCTATAAGCACCTTCCACAGAATACATTAATTTTAAAGAGAGAAAGCCTTGCAGTGGTTGCAGAAGGCTGAGTTCAAGCAAGGATAAGAAAGTAAACTATAACTTGATTTCCTCTTAGCAAGAGGCCTCATTTGGTTTTGGATTCCTATGTGAAGTCATTAAGTTTTGCTGCGAGGGGAATGGTGCTCAATGCAGTTTTCAGAAAGACATTTATGGCTCCATCCCTGGAGGGCTGACATGCAGGCAAAGCATCTGCTAGCATCAACTGAATATGCAGAGGAGAATACAAGTATTTGGAGGAGCACTAGTATGAAATTTGGCCAACGCAGCTGAGATAGATAGATGAAAAATTGCTGCTGTTACTTAAATTACTTACACAAATTTAAAATCTTTTCCTGTCCTTTTCCACCAAGGTAGCAAGAAGAGATTTGGGTTCCACCAATGGAAAGTTCTGGAACAGAAGTAAGCAGAAGATATTGTTGTGATTTGCTCAAAAATGAGACAGAATATTTTCATTACTCCTTAGGGATGTCTGTTGAGAACATGCAAAAGGTGGATGCATTTGAAGTGATAAGATAGTTTTGCTATAAAAGTGAGAATGCGCAGTAAAATCTCCAACACTAACTACAAGACAAATATTTTCCTTGTTCTTAGAACAAAACAACTCAGCAAATATATCAGAAAAGGCAGATGAATAATCTATTCACTCTTGGTTCTCATCTCTCCAGGGAATTTCAGGTACTCATTAAATCTTGTGGCTGGTAGCATAGCAATATAATTTTCTTCTATCTACATAAAATTCTTTTGTGATGGCAAGATATGTATGCTGTCTTCCACTATACAATCAATTACATAGTTACTATGGTTACTATCATAATAACTTTGCTTCCCAATAAAATACATAGTTACTTCAAGGTCAAGACAATTTATAAATATTCCAGTGTTTAACTATTACTGAATATATATTCAAGTAAAATTCCTAATAACGTCAACAGGGATCTTGATATAGACTAAAAATTCTAAAGCTGGTTCTAAAGATTTTCTGATGGATAACTATTTCAGTTAGAGGAAGCCCATATTTAACCCTATCATCTAGTTGGACAAAACCTTATCAGAGGATAAACCAGACTGTACTGTCAGTCACTGTATAGATGGTATTGGTTCCAGCTGAGCACAGCGTATTACTCCTTCCGTGTACTCAAAATCAAACACAGGTATCAAAACAAAAGTTGTGGTGAAATTTATAGCAACAGGAAACATATTTCTAAGTTTCAGTCCTCCAGAACTATCACCCACGTCAGAATCAAACAGGGCTTAGTCTGAGCTAAATTTCACCCAGCATTTCCTGTCTGCTACAAACAGGACTTTTAGAGACAGAAATATATGTATATCCATTTGTATAGATGTAATATAACTACTAATTATCTCTTACATGATGTAACGTTTAGTATTAGGTAATGTTTTTAGACTACACCTAAAATCTTGGATTATGAAGTGCATCCCATTGACAATTTTAGCTGTTTACCTCATCTTCCTAAACCAGAACCTTTTGCTACAAGGAAATGATAGTAGCCGTAATTTCCTCCTAAGAAAAAATAAGAACACTTTTTTTACAATGTAGCTTAATTCGGGTTTTGTGACTAAAAACAGTAACTTACAGATCGTATTCTGAGATCACTACATTTTACAGACAAAAGCAGATGAACTTTATAAAGTATATAACAGTTTGTCAGTTTTGAATTGGATTTCAGAGAGTGAAATTTTGACCAAAATAGGGTAAAAAAAATTTGCTTTTATCTACAAAAATGGTCAGGTTTTAAATACTGATTAAAAACAAGTATGTTTAAAATCTGAAGCGTGTGTCCAGCTCTCCCCCCTTTCCACCTTTTCCCTGCTAGCTCAAATGGTAGTTTTGGAAGAAGAGGAAACAAAATTTTTCCTCACCACATTTGGAAAAAGTCACTGTTTGACCACTAATGAGAGAGCAGCATTTGGGCTGTAAATCATTTGTCCATTTTTAAAGGCAAAACAGATAATGCCCTGTGTAGAAATGGCCACTTCACCTGAGATACAGAGCCTCGTCCAAGCATTTAAATACAAAACAGATGGAGGAAAGCTTTCAAGGGAATATATGCAGGGGAAAAAAATGCTGTGAAATACAAGGGAAAAAAACTCTGCCAAGCTCAACAGGACCAGACAGTTAATGACCCAAGGATTATCTTTTCCAAAACTAAATGAAAAAGACAACTAAAAAGAAAGATGTTCTCCTTTCACAAACATCTAATGCAGAAATAACATATACTAACATGGGATTATCCCTGAAAGATTAAACTGAAGGGATTTCCCATCCTAGTGTCGACTTTCTAAGGACCAGGTTTAGAAAAAATATCCCAAAAGTGACTTGACAACTTCACAGAATAAGGACAAAATAAATAAATAAAACCAAAACCAGATATTCTGTGTTATGGGAGACTTCATATTAATGAATCATATGCATTATATTAGCAAAGGACAACAAGAAAAAAAAAGACCATCTGAAGGTCACAAAATAGATTGCTATTGTAATGGACATTGTGAAAGCACGGAGTACGAGACAGCTTCTGCCTCAAAGGGCAGAAACTGGATAGAGAAAGTGGTAGAATGGCAAGGAAGGTACTAGGTGGGCCCTACCTGGTGTGACTGTTGTGTTAATCCAGTGATTGTTATAGGGATTTGTGCTGCTATATCAGAAGCTGACGAATTGATGGATGGACAGATATAGATTCTTTTTCTTTGCAGAAAAAGAGAAGGTAGTAAACTGCAGTAAAATATTGATTTCAACAAATGTAAGCAGTATTTGAGTATGAAATCTGTGAATATTTTTTGTTGCTGTTCCTGCCTTCTGTGTCGTTTGCTCGTAAGAGATTATTAACATGCCTCAACCCTGTCAAAGAGCAGAGGTTCTGAAGGTTACACTTTGAAGTTTTTGAAGGTCCCCTCTAAACTCACACTTTCCACACACCTAAGGCATGTAGGAATGCACGTTCGTGTTCTTGCCTGCTCTTATTATAGGGGTGCAAACATACCCTCTTGTATTACTAGATTAGCAGATCACTAATTGTCAGCACCTTATAAAGATACTTCCATGATGAAGGAACATTTTCATTACACAGGAATTTCTACATGTGTAAGTGTGAAAGGGGCACCCTGAACATAAGAAGTGACTGTCTTTCTGGTATTTAACATGAGATACAGTCTGTACACTACATGAGTGGAAATGGAACATGTTTCTTCTTAGACATCCAAAGTGAACTGAGTGGGAAGGTGGAATAAACCGATCTCTGCTGTGCTTAGGGCTGTGTTAAGAAAGCACCAGGACTCAGTGAATGACAGAGAAAATGGCTCTGCATGGAGGGAGGGGTTCTTCATGACAGTCACTTCATCATCGTTGTTTGATAAAAAGCTCTGGAAAGGATTAGTTTTCACTGTTTGGCTCTGGGCAGAGAAAATGTAGTGTGTAAGCGGTATAAAGTCAGAGACGAGCTATGCTTTGCTTAATCACCAGATTTTAACTGTTGTGTGCCCTGAAAGGATATTTTTTTTTTTTTTTACACTCTACCTTTGCTATGGCTCTCTTTTTTCCATCGTTCCTACAGTTTTTGCTTGCTCATGGGGGAAAAGCATTAGGTAAGAAAAGCCTAATTGAGGTAAGATTAATGCAGTTCCACTGAGAACAAGGAATATAATTTATTCTTTCCCTCCCTTCCACAGATGTCTTGTTAGCCTCGCCTAACATATGTACTTTTATTCATTTACTTCCTTCTTGTCCTCTGGGAGAAGCCTATCTCATGTAATTTATTGATTTGGCTGCCTTGTTTGTACGCATGTTAATAGTAAGATGTATTGAGCACTCACATATTAGTCATGTTCTCAGATACAAGTGAAGGGGGTTTATCTATGTTCAAAAATTTGTACTTTTGGCTTACCACAATTAGGAGTTGCTTTAAAGAAAATGCTGAAATTGGAGCCTCTGAGCTGGCAAGAAATGTAAAAGGTTTGAAAGAATGGGATCGAGCAGAAATAAAGCATCAAGTTCAGAAGAAATGGGCAGTCTTGGGATCCTGCCTATGGTTTTCTTTCTCTTAGCTGACTTTCATCTTGGGCTGAGAACTTCAGCTAATGCTGATGAACATTAGCAAGGGATGAAGGAAGGAAATACTTATTTTAAATAATGGTTTGATGAAAGGCTGTGAGAAGAGATGAGAAGAACATAGGAGTCCAATTTAATTTACATAGAATTGACTCAGGCAAGAGAGAGGAGCTTGGGCCAAACACTGTGTGCATTGCTTTCTTGCTAACCTTGTACTTGAGACTGGTACTACCAGAAAATCCTTTACAGTCCCTTCTGGAAGTAACAGCTTTGAAAGTCACCCTATGGCATCACTGTAAAATTTTACACTGTCCGAGAGACAGACCCTTACATCAGAAGGAGTGTCTTTACTTGCTGTCAGATTCAAAAACCTGCCATGAATAAGCTCAAAACAGGTTCTGGGCCTTTTTACCAGCCAGCTGCATTTACTGAAATTGTCTGTATTTTCTCCTATTCAAAATGACATTTTCATTTTTACTTTTCAGAAGAGGAAGGCTGCTGTTCTTTGCTTTCTAATAGGCAATCTACCCTTGATATTTCACAATTTAGCATCTTGACTAACACGTAACTCCTGGAAACACTGTGCTTTTGGAGCAATGTAAGTAATGCTCCTGTTACTGTTCTTCAGTTTAATTCTTTTTCTCACTTTTTTTTTTGCATAAAATTGTTTTTTGCTCGTAAAACTACCTCTTAAACGCCAACTAATATACCATTACTCAGTGTTGAAAATGGCTTTTTGTTTGGTTATTCTATGATTTTGTGACTCTTCTGTAATTTGTAGAAATCCTAAGGCTGTTTCAGTAGTAGAGGCCTGAGGCTGCCATCAAATTACACACAGGTGCTTAATCCCATTGTTAGGGCTCAAGGTTGTTCTTGTAGCAGAAACTAATTATGAACTCCTCTGTGTGCTTCAGTTTGTAGAGCTTTGGTCAAGACAAAAAGTGTCCAGTTTGTTGTCATCTTAGGACATGATTACCTAAATTTTTTATAAGCTACTGGTATGAACTCCCTTTTACCCACCTGATTCTGGTTCCAGCCAGTGATTTAAAAGTTTATTTTTAAAAAACAAAACCAAAATTCCATTTTTTTTTTTTGTCTGCTGCAGTAGATTTAAAGAATGTTTTTGATAATTTTGATCACTTTTGGGAAGTGATCTCTTAATATTTTTCTCATCATCTTGACTCCTGATAGGTGATTTTTGCTCTCTCATGTTTCTACTTTTCCATTCCGTGTTGGCTAAAGGGTCTCCTTACCAGTGTGCACTTGATTCACCATAACATGAGAACAATGAAAGGCGCCTTAAAAATTTTTACACAGCTGGTGGTGCACTTATGGATTTTCTCTTTTCCTGTGGGACAGGGAAGGTTTATAATAGGATTCTTTAAATATTCTTTTCTTCTGTGTTCTTTTGTGCTACCTGAAATTTTATTGGGTAACTGGGAGGCTATAAATGCTGGTGTGCACTATTATTGATACAGGTTTGCCTGTTAGCTCCAGAAATTAAACACTCCTATACACCCACATGTCCTTATTCAAGGATGACCTTTCATGCTCTTGCTGGTTTATTTTTTACTGCAGAAAGTAAAATGATTTTCAGGTCGCCTCAGCTACGCTAAACTCTCTTAGGTTGGGATGCTCAGCAGCCTATGGCTGCACATTATAAATCTCTGCACACCAATACTCCAGATCAGCCTGGAGTATCTCAGTATTCTGAGATACTTTCTGCACAGCCTAAAGCCAAGTCAAGAAAGCAAACATGCCCTGTGCATCTCTTCATTCTCTTCTAAACTCCTATTAGTCAGTCTGTTTGTTACAGACTGATTTTCTATCATTTGATTCCCTATATGAGCACACTGATCACATTTACTGCCTTTTGTGGAAAGCAAGTGAGATGGTAATTTGGGAGTTATTTCTGAACACTTGTGTTCATTTTAAATAAGATAATTCCACTGCTGCAAGGAATTAGCAATTGTTTTCAGCTTGTGAATAATCAGTAATATTTAAAAACGATTTCCATTGATCCATCTTCAAACAAAAAAGTGGTATTATTCCTCTCAATCTGAGAGCAATGCAGAGAATTTAAGTTAATCTTTCCTAGATCATCCAACCTTCAAAACTAATAGTGTCAATCAGGCAGTGGGCAGGTCGCAAATACCGGCCCAGTGGAAGGCTGTCACAACTGTGAGTATGCAATTCTACTGCTAGACAGATCACCAAAATCATTTTAAGCTGCACATTTTTTTTTCCCAAGGTCAATGACATCATGAAAGGAGAGAGAATTGTATTTCTTTAGGTGGATTGCTCTTGACCTTGATATTTCGGGGGTTCCAACCATCAAGAGGCTTGCAGTGAGTGATTATATGGGTCTCCAGAGCAGCCTTGACAAAAGGTCGGACAAGTTCCACAATAACAATAACCCATGATTTCACTGATGTCTGAAAGAAAATCTCACATGTTTGGCAGATACCTTTGCAACAAAGAGATAGCAAAGGCTGTAAATCCCTGAACATCTATTATTGCGCAATCAAACCTTGCAACTCATATGTACGTCCCCTGGAAATACAGTTATATGCTGCTAAAGTTAAAAAAAAAACATGTAATTTGGGGTCATGGGATTTCATTATAAGCTGTACGGAGGAAACATGAGACTTTTTTAAAGAAACTATTAGTTAGGAAATATATTGTAATGATATGTACCTATGTATATATATATGCAATGTGCATACAGTAACGTGGTCTACCAGTTCACTAAATGAAAAAAAGCTCACTATGTAGGTGTATTTTTTTAAACAAAATGGGGGACAGAAACACAACTGTTTCTCAGAGCAACAATTTCTTTCTGTCTATCACTATTCACAAGTGAAAGGAGAACACGGGTAAGAGTTAAACCACTGATGAAACAAAAATCTGCTCTGCTCTATTCATGCCACAGGCCAAACTCTCTTTTTTTTTTTCCAAGGCAGGGAGGGGGGTGTGCTGTGTCTCCTCTTTTGGTCTAAATCCCTACTGAACCTTAACTGTCTCTAGTTGGATGTCTGAGCATCTAGTTTCCTTCATCACTTGGAAACAACTATTTGGAGACAAGCTTTACTTTAGCTTACAGGTGATGGCTACATGGGATTTATGGTGCTAGAATTTATCAGAATTGATATAACATGTTTTTTCTATGTTTTAAGCAGAAATAGAGAAGGGCTAGTGAGATGTTCCCCCAAATAATAATTATAATGAGATTTAGGCATGTAATTATAAGTAGTATTTAGAATTTGGCTTTACTGTATTTAAGAAAATCAAGTCTGAGCAGCTGCCAGGGACAGATTTCAGGATGAGAGGGAAAAGGAAAACTCTCTGATCAGAGACTGAGAGATGACGCAAACTGCAGTCTTAACACACAAGTAGCATTAACAGCATTTGGGGACAAGCTTAATGGAAATGAAAGGACAACTAGGCTGGATATTAAACAGTTTTCTAATCATTAATGTTGTATTGGCGTAGCGTAGAATTTTAATCTGATTAGCAGCGAAGATGAGAGGTGAAGCCTGGCCATATTATAAAAGCTAAAATGGCCCAGAAGCATCCTTCTAGTCCTATAAGTTTAATTCCTGGGTGTGACATGCCTACAATAAAGACAAGGCTTACTTGCAGTGGCATCAAGCAAGAAAACTGGAAAAAAAAAACCCAAGTAGCTCATCAGTTTCTTGCTGAGATTTCCTGTTGCCTCATATATTGTCATCCACATTGCCATTCAATCCATTCTGTTCATTTTTACGAATCTGATCAAAAGGAAGCAAAGTAGCAAGTGTATTTGTAAACTAATTGAAGATGGGACAATGACCAAAAGCAGACTGTTGTTGATGGCATGAAACAGAACCAATTCTGTTCTACATGCTTTGCTCTCATCACCCTGTTTCCCATTTACCCTCTCAGAGGCCATTAATTTGGCAGCATTATGACTCATCTTCTGCATTTGTGCATTTCAAGTGGTAAGCAATCTTTTTTTTTTTTAGGCTGCTATAGACCATGATAATCCTGTAAAAATAATTTATTCTATGAAAAATTGTTAGATGATTTTTTAAATTTTTAAGAATATTTTCAAAATTTCCATCAAGCATAATTGGATGATTATATGCTGAGAAACCTTTTCTGAATATAAAACTCAGAAGCTGAAAGTAGTCCTTTATACAAACCGATAATGTACTTAGAAACATGTTTTTCTGTACAGCAGTACCCTCAGTGTTCCTTCAATTATTCAACATTTTTTATCAGGTAAGACTAAACCTTTTCCTGGCTCAATGGGAAATACAGCCCATTTATATTTTCTTTTTTAAAATATTTTTATTTTTTGTTTTTAACTAAAAATGTTGGCCACAAGCTTAACATCCCGATCATCTCCTGGCTTTGCATATGTTGCGGGGTTTGTTTCCTACATGATTATCCTTGCAGATTATATACCTTCAAACTGTGTATCAATTAGATTATTTTTCCTGATCCAGGATTTCCTACGAGAGCCATTATTCCCTACTGCTCTCTTTTAAATAAGCTCTTTCAGTTTTGATGATGACCAGGTAGTTTTCAAGCTCTCAGTAGACAACCTCTCCAGAAGGCTTGGCTGAAAAGCCAGCAATTAATCACAGGCAGGACTGAAGCCAGGCTCTCCTAAAAAGCCAGCTTCTCGGTGATAAACTCATTACCTGCTGGCAACATTTAAATTCTCTGGTCACAGCTATTAAAGCCACACGAATGAATAACTCACCATGCCTGTCTCTCTTCATAAAACAGACCATTACGTTTCATGCAGTCACCACTGAACTAAGCCTAGCAACTTGGATACAATGAAAATACCTTTGGGAAGAGCAGCCAGTGTTGCTTTAGGAGCATCAGAAGGCAAACGTTCGGCTTGTGAGCAGCCTGTCTCCTGTTTAATCATTAGGAAAACTGGGAGATGCTTTTACCTTCAGTCTCCCCGGTTTGTGTTATTCCATTCAGTAGCTTACTGTAACCTAAATTTTCAACCTGATCCAGAATGTCAGCTGACAAGCAGTATTTATAACGCCCATGACTTCAACTGTGGCATCTGCTTATAGATAACTTCACAGAATCATAGAATCATAGAATAGTTTGGGCTGGAAAGGACACTGAGAGGTCATCTAGTCCAGCTCCCCTGTAATAAGCAGCGACATCTTCAACTAAATCAGGTTGCCCAGAACCACATCCAACCTGGCCTTGAGCCTTGAATGTCTCCATTTGTCTTTTGTATAAAGGCATATATTTTCCTTGCACAGAGACACGAGATAATTCTCTTCTGTGTAGTTCAGCTATTAAAATGATTCATCCAACTCAGAAAAGTCTACAAGGCAAAGCAAATGAGCTGTACTGGGAAAATGTTAGGGAGAGATATTCAACCCTACACATTATGAACAGCACACTTGAAGAAAGTATTCAAGTCTCAACTAAATCCCTCTCCTTCATATTATGGTTATCATCTGTCTTTTTCACACCAGAAATCTGTAGTGTTTCTGTGAGCTTCCCAAAACGTGCATAATAGGTAAAGCCAATACAATTACTGGTACTTAGAATCATAGGATACTTAGGGTTGGAAAA